TGAGATACCGACAATCGAATCTCGGGCAAGTAACATACCGATGACAAAGGGAACACCGTATGTTGTTATGCGGTCTGACCGATAAAGATCTTCGTAGAATATGTGGGAGCCAATATGAGCATCTAGGTTCCGCTATTGGTTATTGACCAGAGACATGTCTCGGTCATGTCTACATTATTCTCGAACCCGTAGGGTCCGCACGCTTAACGTTACGATGACAGTTTCATTATGAGTTTATATGTTTTGATGTACCAAAGGTTGTTCGGAGTCCCGGATGTGATCACGGACAGGACGAGGAGTCTCGAAATGGTCAATACATGAAGATTGATATATTGGAAGCCTATATTTGGATATCGGAATCGTTCCGGGTGAAATTGGGATTTTACCGGAGTACCGGGGGGTTACCGGAACCCCCCGGGGGTTAATGGGCCTACATGGGCCCTAAGGGAGAAGAGGAGGGCCGGCCAGGGCAGGCCGCGCCCCCCCTCCCCCCTAGTCCGAATAGGACAAGGAAGGGGGGGGGCCCTTTCCTCTTTCCCCCTTCCCCTTTCCTTCTCCAACAAGGCAAGAGGGGGGAGTCCTACTCCTGGTGGGAGTAGGACTCCTCCAGGCGCACCCCTAAGGGGCCGGCCGCACCTCCCCCCTCCCTCCTTTATAAACGGAGGCAAGGGGGCACCCCAAGACACACAAGTTGATCTTCGTGATCGTTCCTTAGCCGTGTGCGGTGCCCCCTTCCACCATATTCCACCTCAGTCATATCATAGCGGTGCTTAGGCGAAGCCCTACAATGGTAGAACATCAAGATCGTCATCACGCCATCGTGCTGACAGAACTCTTCCCCGACACTTTGCTGGATCGGAGTCCGGGGATCGTCATCGGCTTAACGTGTGCAAGAACTCGGAGGTGTCGTAGTTTCGGTGCTTGATTGGTCGGGCCGTGAAGACGTACGACTACATCAACCGCGTTGTTATAATGCTTCCGCTGTCGGTCTACGAGGGTACGTGGACAACACTCTCCCCTCTTGTTGCTATGCATCACCATGATCTTGCGTGTGCGTAGGATTTTTTTTGAAATTACTACGTTCCCGAACATTTGTTTGTGTATGCTTATGCTTATGGTGCCTTTGTTTATGAAACTCTATTAAGGCGGCCACCTCTTGCAGACAACATCGGCCAACGGTACTCCATGCTGGACTGGGCATTCGAGAAGGGTCATCATGCCCGTTTCATAGAGAACGGAGAGGTAAGTGATATGAAAGAAATCTTGATCAAAGTTTTCGGATTGATGAAAATGATTTCCTAACTTTTGGCGTTCACTTTTTGATAGATGCTCCAGCCATTGCGCATGAGGGGTCATGGGGTTCATGGGCATATGGACTACGATGAGCGCTACACGCCGTTCTTCAAGAAAGCCCGTCTGTTGGGTTTCGTGTTGCAGTTCAAGCGTCAGCCGCCGACGCTTTTCCACGCGGCTCTCAGAGCTCTGATTGACCGGTGGCGACCGGAGACCCATTCTTTCCATCTGCCATGCGGGGAGATGACGGTGACCCTAGAGGACTAGGGGATGATTACTGCAATGCCGATCGAGGGTCATGCACTCACCGGTCGAGTGGAGAGGACCAACTGGCAGGAGAGGGTCACCACCCTCATCGGAGACTGCCCCGATGCCAAGAGTAACCTTACGTCTGGTGTGCCGTTGATCTGGCTCTCGGAGCACCGAAAGACATGCCCCCAAGGCGCAGATGAGGCGACTGTGGAGTTGTACGCGAGGGCCTATCTGTGGTATATTCTCTCGGAGGTCGTGTTTCCAGACAGCTCCGGGAACTCTGCCAACTGGGCGTATCTGTTCTTCCTAGCGGACTGGGATGCAGGGTACAATTGGGGGACCGCATCTCTCGCCTACCTATACCATTCGGTAAGAGAGTGTCTAATTGCCTACCTACCTACGAAACTGTGTCCATGAAATTTTCTTATATCTGATCCTTATTTGATGTTTTGCAGCTTGACGACGCAACGCAGAGGACGGGAGACAAGTCCAATATGGGTGGCTTTGTCTGGGCCTTCTCCATTTGGATGTGGGAGCGGCTGCCGGTGGGGCGTCCGGAGAAGTTGCGAAGACGCCCATGGGAAGACTATGGCGAAGACGGCGACGAGACTCGAAACCCCACCATAGCTTACGAGTGGGACGTTGTCAAACTCTACACGGGCCTAAACAAGACTTCGTACAAGACCTACACGAACGAGTTGGACGCTTTGACGCATACGCAGGTATATAAACTCGCTCAACACGTTTCTCTTTGATTCCACTTTTGACCAAGAGTGCAAACTTACCAAGGTATATGTAATAGGTAAACTGGTGGCCGTATCGACAAGACCGAGAGTGGGACTTTGATCTGAACGTGATGTGCGATGCGGACCGTGGTCTCTGGCGGTGCATCGTGCCCATGATCTGTGTGTACACCGTCGAGTGGCACTTGCCACAACGCATGGCCACGCAGTTTGGGATTTATCAGCATACCCCACCGGGCCAGCCCACCGATACCGGCGGCCACGCGCTCCACCTGTGAGCTCTTTGTTCTCCGTGCCCATGATTTCATTACGATTATCATGTTTCTTGTTGCTTATGATGATCTTATTGCGCTTATGATGATTCTTGTTGCTTATGCCTTGCAGGATGAGCCGGCAGAAGAATCAGTCGATCACAGACTGGGGAGAGGAGCATAAGACTCATGTGACGGAGTGGAACTGGCGGAAGTTCCGTAAAGACGTGGAGAGGAAAGTGACTAACTGGGATGATTACCTGGGCCGACACATGAGGTGGTACGATGATGGCCAGAAGCACCGTCTTCGTCTCAGGCCTCGGTGGACGGCGGAAGACATCGCAAAGCTGGAGAGGGATGACCCCGATGAACGGGCATCAGAGACATGCACAGTGGATTTAGGGAGTTTGCACCCCTCATCAACAGAGTGGTAAGTTTGAACCGACGGTTGTATTTAAAATATTTTATTCGCCATCGTGACTGACTTATGCCATTGCAGTCCGGTGAGCTGAACAGATGCATCTTCGAAGCCTCAGATGCACTAGGTAATCTTCCCGGGAGCGCACAATCTGAGACCAGAGTGAGGGTGACGATGAAGGTACAATTTCAGCCTCCTTGGAACAGATGCATCTTGTTCACTTGCAATCAGTCGATCTGATACTTATTATGACCTTGCTTCATTGTGAGTGCAGAAGTTCGTGTAGCGTTGTCCCAAGCTGGTAGGGCTGCTTGGGTGTGCTGGAGCTAGGTCAGTTGAAGCTTATCAGCCTATAGCCACACAGGGTCTCATCAGCTCATCGAGCCATGCTCCCTCATCATCTAGGTTGGTTGGGGAGGAGGAGGAGGAGGAGGAGGAGGAGGAGGAGGGGGAGGCCACATATGAAGAAGGGGAGGAGGAGGATGAGAGCAACGGGGAGGAGGAGTACGATGAAGATTATGGACCTCCACCAACTCAAACATCTCAAGCATCTCAGCTGCCGAAGAAGAGGAATCTGAAGAAGAAGGATTTGCTGAGTCCGGACCCTTTCCAGAAACCGGTTCCTCGCCGGCCCAAGAAGAAGACCGTAGAGACTCGTTCAAAGAGTAACGATGACCGTACCTTCAAGAGGGGAAGGAGCAACTGATTATGCTCTTCGATACTTGGCTCTTTTAGTTTGGTTGAACTTGTCTAGTGGTTATGAAACTACGTGGAACTATGTGTTTGCCATTTGTGGATCTATGTGTTTGCTACTACGTGGAACTCCGTTGAAGTTCGTTTGAAATGTTATATGCACAAGTTATCTAATGTGGATCTATGTGATGCCCAAGTTTAATCTATGATATTGTTGACATATTTGTAAAACTTGCTGTGATATTGCTGTCATATTGCATTCGAAAATAAACAACCAAATGAACTAGAAACAACAAAACATAGGACCCTACCGCCAAGGACCCTGGCGGTAGGGTCAGACAGTCTACCGCCAGCCCCCATGGCGGTAGGTCGCACCTACCGCCAGGGCCCTTCCATTTTTCGTTACAGAAACATTATACTGGAAAACACAGGACCCTACCGCCAGGGGCTCTGGCGGTAGGGTTAGACAGCCTACCACCAGGTCCACTGTCCATTTCGTTACAAAAGGGTTGTACGGCAAAACCCTGCTACACCCCTAACGTCAGAGGGTTAGACAGCCTACCGCCAGGCCTTCTGGCGGTAGGTACTTATCCACGTTAGCGCAGTCAAACGACCGCCGTCCCTCTCCGTCGCACCCTACCGCCATGGGCCCTGGCGATAGCAAAAGGGTCAAATCCCGAATTTTTTTACAACCAGGATCAGATCTTGAATTTCTTACAAAAAAAATGTCAAAACACAAAATTTTGCCCCTCCGGTGACAGTGGAATAGGATTTTGCTGTGCCCGTTGCGCCGCTTGCGCCTCTTCTCCTAAAGAAAATCTTTACTGCCAACGTAATTACTGCAGCAGAAAAAAAATCCAAACGGGAATAAGATATTCAATCGTTATCCAAACGGGAATAAGATATCAAACAAAATCGCATCAGATATCAAACAAATTTAACTTGTACCCATTGCGCCGCTTTGCCTCTTTTTTTAAACGGCAACGAAAGAGAAAATCGGTAGTGCCCTTTAACTTTTGATGGGAGTAAAAAATAAAGAGGGAGGCTCTTGTTGTGAGCAGCCACTCCCAATTACGTTGGGAGAAAAAAATTCACAAAGGGAACCAAGAGATTCAGGCAACGATTTCAACATGAATGGAATGGCAAAATCGCATCGGAGATCAAACGAATTTAACTTGCAAATTCTTCAATCCATTCATTCAATCAATCGAACATTCACTCCCATCTTCCATTTCCCTCTCTCGATTCGAAAGTAAAACAGAAGTACAATAAAAGAAGATAACACCTCTCCTCTCTCCTCTCTCTTCAATGGCACGATAAATCCGGATGAGCGCAGCAGCAGCAACCCGCCTAGACGACGGTGTAGAGAATAATCTCCGTGGCGTCGATGACGGCCCGCCGCTGCCTCTTCATCATGGCCATGGCCACGGCGCCTCCTTCTCCGGGCACCATCCCGCCGCCGTGGCCGGCGCCGGGGGCGGCCGAGGCGGAGGCGGGAGGGTGATAGTACATCCGGGCCGTCTGCGGGCAGTGGGAGTGGAACCGCGCGGCGATACGCACCCCCATGTCCAGCAGCTCCACGTACTTCCCCATGGATCTCGCGCAAATCTGACGACCTCCTTCCCCTCTCCGCTCGACGAAGATTGACGACCGGGACGGACCAAGAAAGCAGCCGACGGAGGGCTTGGTAGCGCTAAGCTCTCTTTTCGTGGAACGGGGAGGCCCAGGAACTGGGGGCGGCCATGGGAGGTGTGGAGGAGAGCAGGGGAGAGGAGCTCATGCTTGGGGAAGCTATGGAGGAGGGGGGAGGGCGTTTTATAGCAGGAAATAAACGGGGGGATTTTAATTTTTTTTCCTTGACCTGGCTGGCCGTATTTACTTCTTTTTTTAGGCAGCTGGCCGTATTGATTGAGTAATTAATATTTTTAGTACTACCTCCGTTTCAGTTTACAAGTCCTACGCGTATATTTAGGTTGTCAATTTTATCACCCTAATATAAACTATATAACACAAAAATTATACCTTTTGAAAGTAGAAACTCCGAAGTTTATGTTGGTATATTTTTTGTAATATATGACTTGTAATATAATTTAAGTAGGTTTTTTTTAGCAATTAATATTTTTATTAGGTATTTGCCATGTTTTCGCCTCGTGGGCTGGGCCTGGGTTGGCGTCAGTTAGGTTTTCCGTGCGTAACACAGGATGGACGCGTCGGCGGTTCGCTTCGTAGAGCCTTTCGTTGCTTTCTTGCGTAACGGTTTTTTCACATGCTTGAAAACGAAACGACGCTTCCGGGAACCATCCTTGTAGGCGACGCGGCTATCGGGACCACGCCACAAAAATTGGGACGCCCGCCCCCTGCCTCCGATTTTTAAGTGCGGGTGTGCGTCGGTCGACCGGTCGAGCTGCAGATCGGTCACCCTGTGGGCCATCGGATCGCTCCTTTTTTAGAAATGAAATAATGGATAATGTTAACTATTTACAACCCGTTCCTTCTTAAGCAGCAGCGGCCTGCGGAGGGCCAGGTCTACGACGAGCGCGCGAGCTAGGTGGCCGTGGTGGCCATGGTCGCGGCGAACCCCAACTGCATCGCTGAGCAGCAGGCGCTCTGCAAGGCCGCGTGAAAGCACATTTGCTCCCTTGGTGATTTCGGTTATTCATGTTAACATACATGTTGTTGGACTACACTTTCACCTGCTATATTTCAGAAAAATTCAACATTGACATGGCAAGGATGTGAGGATATGGACCCCCTCAAATTGCTAAGAACATGGATTGGCCCTGTTGGCGGTTTCTGGAGACCCCATCTCCTCACGAGCCGTTGACCAATGCATGCGGCGGCCCAAAGCTGCAGGAGGCCACCGTGGACGACCATGCCGCACCGCCAGATGCGCTGCCTTCGCAGGCCTTGGAGGGTAACCTTGGGCCCGCTTCTACACAGCCCACCTCGGGGCCCAAAGCCGTCACAGCTGCTGGGCTCGATGAAGGCATCCCGGGCCCTGGCGATTCGTAGTCCACCGAGGACAACAACTCCGACAACACACATCCACCACGCCTGATGCTATGTTGGCCACCGCTTCTGAAGATCTCACCACGACAATCCGCTCCGAGATCCAGCCACCTCTGCTTCACACCCCACCTGCTGCTTCCACCCCGATGGCGCCGCCGCGCCACAACAGCAGGCGCCTCGCCGGAAAGCGAGCCGCCGCGTTGGGCACCATCGAACGGGCCAGGGGCGTCCTGAGGAAGAAGTGGGGAATCACGGACGACAACGACGGCGCCGCTTCAGAGGAAGCACTTCTGCAACGCTTCCTCGACCTCTTCAAGGAGCCGCTGTCCGCCGACGAGATCAACGCAGTGAAGGCACTATTCGGCTCTTGTCAGCTATCCAAGGTGACGCCGGCGCTCCTGGCCAGGCTTGCCGCGGGTCGTCGCCTGCGCACCAGGCGCAACGCCACAAGGTGATCCCCGGCTGCGTTTCCCATCGAGATCATTATCCTCCCATGTTAGCCTCCCGCAGGATATCGCGGAGTGCACCCACCGCTGCCGCTGTGCACCTTTTATCTGTATCTTCTTTTTACCTTTGTCCGTTTCGTCAGTTCAGTAGCCTCCAGTTTCAGTTTCATCAGTTAGGCATCACCCTCAGTCTGTATAGCCAGGTTGCCACCCCCTGGCTACCCACTTTGCCTGTTCAATTCAGAGATCACTTTGTTTCCAATGAGTGAACACAACTGCACCGTCTTCAATTGGAACGTACGGGGTCTGAACAACCCCGCATGGCGTCTGATTGTTCGAGATTTGGTCTGCCAAAATCGTGCTTCCATAGTCTGCCTTCAAGAAACAAAACTTGCTGTGGTCGATCGCGCCGTTATCCTTGAGACCCTAGGCCCCCTCTTTGCCTACTCCTTTTGCTTCCTCCCAGCCGCTGGGATAAGGGGCGGCATAATCTTGGCTTTTAACTCAGACTTCTTCTCCATCCAGAGCACCTTCAACATCCTGAACACTATTTACGCAACCATCTCCATGCGAGCTTCTGTTGCCTCTTGGTGCATCATAAAACAAATATGCCCTAGAGGCAATAATAAAGTTGTTATTTATATTTTCTTATATCATGATAAATGTTTATTATTCATGCTAGAATTGTATTAACCGGAAATTTGATACATGTGTGGATACATAGACAAAACACAGTGTCCCTAGTAAGCCTCTACTAGACTAGCTTGTTAATTAAAGATGGTTAAGTTTCCTAACCATAGACATGTTTTGTCATTTGATGAACGGGATCACATCATTAGGAGAATGATGTGATGGACAAAACCCATCCGTTATCTTAGCATAATGATCGTTAAGTTTTATTGCTATTGCTTTCTTCATGACTTACACATATTCCTTTGACTATGAGATTATGCAACTCCCGGATACCGGAGGATACCTTGTGTGCTATCAAACGTCACAACGTAACTGGGTGATTATAAGATGATCTACAGATATCTCCGAAGGTGTTTGTTGGGTTGGCATAGATCGAGATTAGGATTTTTCACTCCGAGTATCGGAGAGGTATCTCTAGGCCCTCTTGGTAATGCACATCATAATAAGCCTTGCAAACAATGTGACTAATGAGTTAGTTGCGGGATGATGTATTACAGAACGAGTAAAGAGACTTGCCGATAACGAGATTGAACTAGGTATGAAGATACCGACAACCGAATCTCGGGTAAGTAACATACCGATGACAAAGGGAATAACGTATGTTTTCAGAACGGTTCGACCGATAAAGATCTTCACATAATATGTGGGAGCCAATATGAGCATCCAGGTTCCGCTATTGGTTATTGACCGGAGAGGAGTCTCGGTCATGTCTACATAGTTCATGAACCCGTAGGGTCCGCACGCTTAACGTCCGATGACGATTTGTATTATATGAGTTATGTGATTTGGTGACCGAATGTTGTTCGAAGTCTCGGATGAGATCACGGACATGATGAGGAGTCTCAAAATGGTCGATAGGTAAAGATACTTATATAGGGCGATGATATTCGGACATCGGAAGTGTTTCGGGTACCGGGTACATATCGGGTCACTGGAATGGGTTCCAGGCACCTCCCGGCAAAGAAATGGGCCTATTGGGCCAAGAGGGAAAATGCAGCAACCAGCATGGGCTGCTGCGCCCCCCTTGTTGGCCGAATAGGAATGGGAAGGGAAAAGGGGAAGAGAGAAGGAAGGGGAGGCAATTCGCCCCCCCTTCCTTCCCTCTCAGGAAAATAAGGTAAGGGAGGGGGGGGGGGCGAATTGGACAAGGCCCTCAAGTAGGATTCCTCCTACTTGGGGCGCCCCATGGTTGTCCTCCTCCCCTCCCACCTATATATATGTGGGGAGGGGGCGCCTAGAACACACATCAAACATTGTTAGCCGTGTATAGCTAATGTTGGGTGCATCATGACCGGATCTTTTCTACCATGAATTACAATGTTTAGTCGCTGCTTGAACTTTGGAGGTGCTTTCTTAGTTTCTAGCGCTTGTTTCAGAAGGTGATGACACAACATAAAAGTAAATAGAAAGTCCCTTTGCAGAGGGAAGCAGTGATTTGCAGAGGTGCGAGAGCTCAAGTTTTAAAACAGAGATAAATGATATTTTGAGACATGCACCCTTCTTATTCACTTCACGACCATCACTTATCAACATCTTCTATGCTAAGCACGCTAGTGGCGGTTCCCAAGCGATAAAAGTAAAGGTTTACTCCCCCTCCACCATCAATCACACTCCACGGCTTGTCCGAAACAATGGGTGTCGTCCATACCAACATCAGTCTCGGGGGAGTTTTGTTTAATTATTTGCATTTTTTGAGTTCGGGACTGGGAATCCCTATTACCGCCCATTTTCTCGTGCGATGGCGAGTGAATAAACACACGACCTGAGAATAACCCGCTTAGCATGGAAGATATCGACCACCTCCTGTCATTCCATGAACGATCCAGGCACACAAAAAGGATAACTTTTAAAAGTTTTTAGAGGTGGCACATGCAAATTTACTTAGGACGGCAGGGTAATACCGTCACTACAAAAAAATACACTTCCGTGATGATACGTGTTTGTCACAATAGATCACGTTTTCTGTCATGCATGTACATCGATGATTTTATGACAGAATCAAGATAGTCATACTGTGATATCGTAGAAGTGTTCCATGACATTACCAAAATTATCATCACGGAAGTGTCCACTTCCATGACGATAAATCCCACGTCATAGAAGTGCTTTCGTCAAGGGTGACCGACACATGGCATCGACCGTAACGGGTCGCCGTTAAGTTATCGGGTTCGGTTTTGGATCCGATAACCCGTTAACAGCCCGGACCAATGGGGATTTTCCACGTGTAAAATTCTCGTTGGCCGGAGGAAACACGTGTTTGCTCCCCGTTGGGACAGATGTCATCCACTCATTGGACAGGAGGCGCCTATGATACGTCGACACGTGGCACGGCCCAACAAAGGCCCATTCCGGTGAAAAGGCCGACCCAGCTAAAGGCCCAAAATGTTTTTTCAGACACTAGTGGGCTGGCCCGTTAACAGTCTGCCATGTTTTGGGCCAAATTGA